TCGGGCAGGGATGTACAACTGCCTGCTGATCTTCGTTTCCAGATCTGTTGGTTTAGGTTCCTTTTCGAGTGCCTATCTGGCCATCGAATCGGGACTCAAGAACTGTCGGTGAGAGTAGATAAAGTGAATTTTTCTTGTCGAGCAATAGGCGTGGAATTGTGCTTATTAACGAAGTTTTCGCGTGAATTGATTTTAAATAAAGTATTCAGGACGAAATGTGTTGCAATTTTGACTCGCTTACGCGCATATGCTGGTGGTTTTAAATAATATGCGTGTTGTTGTAGCCTTGTACGAGAATTGGTTAATGAAAGGCCAGCTTTGTATGTGAAAGGAGAACGAAAAAAGTAAAAGAGAGAGAAGAGAAAGACTAAGTATCTAGACTTCTGTCTTCCTTGCGCTTCGGCTTCTTTACCTTTCATTTCTTAGACCGTGTTGGTTTAGTTTCTTCCTTTCTCTTTTTCATTTGCCCTACGCATTCTCATTAGTTGCTTTCGATTAACTAGTGAACGAGAATAAAAATGTACTCCTGTGTGTCACACACCATTTACAGTACGAATCGTATATACATATAATTTACTTAAATTTCAACCAAAAATATTGCTTTGCGATTTAGATATTACCAAACGTGAAGTTGTATTAAATAAAATATTAATTAATTATATCGAACAATTTTGTACGCTTAATATCAATTTTAAATGTAAAATTGAGAAAATTTCATTACAAATAAGTATACATGATCATTCTTAAAATTGTGCTTTTGTACTTTGGAATTGGGCTCATTCGGAGTTAGTTTTGGAAACAATAAATTCTCTTTCTTTACTCATACAGTGTCACAATTATGTACAGTAATATATATTTTTAAGTAAAGGTACTAACCTCTAAAAAGACGAATACAGTATAAAAAACAGAGAAATAGATCACGTTGATAGACTTGACAATTTTTTAATAGTTCCGAATGACAAGAGAAAAGATCTACTGTTTCAGTTACCACCTTACGTAGTATCTACTGGATCATGCCTGAATTTGCATCAAATTCGCCCCTGCCATTGCGGCTCCTTC